CACTAACATAGTTTATATATATTATTTTACCCAAACTAAGTTAGGTAACCATGTTATTCCTAACAACCACCACAGAAGCAGTTGTCAAAAAACTAAACAGACTATTTGCTACGCACGGGTTGCCAGATGTCCTGGTCTCAGATAATTCACTGCTCTGGCATTTGAACAGTACCTGGCAGACCGGGGAATACGCCACGCTTTAACTTCGCCGGCTCACCCGGCAGCCAATGGCAGGGCTGAGCGCATGATCCAATTCATAAAGAAAACGCTACACAAGATGGAACATGGGGACATCGATGACAAGGTGACCAGGATGCTTCTCCTCCAGCATATCACCCCAAGCAGCACCACAAACAGAACCCCAGCTGAACTACTCATGGGCCGAAAACTTCGCTCACATCTTGATCACCTACACCCTGCCTACATGCTGAAAAAACCCCTGGGGTCCAGCAGCAGGATTCATCTGAGATATAAATATATTGTGCTAAAGTATGTAAATATATTGTGCTAAAATAAATAAAAATAAAATAAAATAAATATATTGTGCTAAAGTATGTAAAATATGTAAAGAAGAAGGTGATAGACCAACTTTGCTCTTCTCTGATCTCCGTTGTCTTAATGATCTCTGTGTTCTTCTCTCCTTTGCATTTCATATTGGTAAGAATCCAGGAAATGTTTCCTGTTTTTGTTCAGACCCCAAATCAACTTATCTCATTGTGTCCTCTCTGGAACAAAAATAGACAGCTGAGTCTGCAACTGACACAGAATTCAGCTGGAAATAGAACTCATTCTTGGCAACGTCTGACAAAATGGAGGCACGGTTCTTCACAGAGGGAGAATACCATTTGTTCCCATTAAAGGGATGTATTCCTGCAATCCATTTTAGAATTTTTCCAAAAGGCTGGTGGAACCAATGCCAAATATAGTTCTGAGTCTGGATGGAGAACCCAGTCAATTTACAAACCAGCCTGAGATTATCTCTAGGTCTTACCACTCCTGGGCCAATTGAAACCAGGCGAATCTCTGAGAAGGCCCTTTGAGAAAAAAGAGAAGATGACTGTGAATATAAGAGCTCAGTGGTGATGCCATCTAAGCATCTCCTAGAACTTATACTTACATTTTTGCACCAAAAGAAAGAAAAATAAACACAATAAGATCTTCATTGTAAATCAAAGTAACTCAAGTCTGGATCTAAGAGAAACACCAGAGATTTTTTATTTTGGGTACCACCTTTTGAAGGCCCATGACCTCAGAAGATATAAAAGTTGAACAAGACAATTATGACAGAGCTTGATTACACGGATACACTGGTGTTATATTCAGGGGTGGGCTTCAAAATTTTTAGCAAGGTTACTGGGTGGATGTGACCATGGTGGGCATGGCCTAGTCTCCTGCACCATGACAGGGGGCATTTTTGCCCTCCCCGGGCTCTGGAGGCTTTGTTCAAGCCTCCGGGAGGGCAAAAACAACTTCCCAGGGCTCCTGAGGCTCTCATTTCCTGAACTTCTGGGAGGCCCATTTTTCACCCTCCCCCGAGCCTCAGCATGTGCCCTGAACTTACCTGCATCCAAAATGGGCCACATGGGGACTTCTGGGAGGAAGAGGCAAGATGGGCGGGGTCAGCTGGGAGTGGGATTTAGGGGTTCTCCGAACTGCACAAAATTTTAGCTAGGGGCTCTCTGGAACCCCTGCGAACTCCCAGCAGCCCAGCCCTGGTTATATTCATGACTGGGATCAATTCATAATAATAAAGAAGACATCAAGCTTTTATCCCTCTCAATACCTTGGAAGAAACAGGAGAAAAATTACATTGTGGCCTTAGCGATTACCTGGTACGATGAGAAAGAGGAATAAAGTTGACTGCATTGTAAACCAATTCAATTTTCACTACATTTAGGAAAGGAATGTTGGACTTTTATTTGGTTTACAGAAAGGACTGTACAATTTTTCAATTAAGGAAACAATATTCAGGACTATAAATTCATGGGACCTAGAGATATAACCCCACTATTAATAATTGGTGTTTCTAGAAAATTGAAATATTGGAATTATGGTGGAATATTGAGTAATTTTAAAAATATTAGAATACTAGCGATTCAACAGGGGACAACAAATATATTGTACAAAGAAATGTTATTTATGTTAAAATATAGAAAGTGATAAAGAATCATAAAGAGAGAATGGCATTGTTTAAAGGCAAAGATGTGAATGTAGAAGAAGCCCAATAAATGGAGGGGGAAAAGATGAGTACAAATTGGGAAAATAGTATTATACACACTGGTATATAAAGGAATCCATTATAATTACAATGTGTATGTTAAGGTTAGAAGTTGGAAGACAAGGATCATGTATTGTATTATTATTGTTAACATTGTATAAAAAGTATATTGACCCACTGTCCACAAAATATGTATGGTTGTTAAAGGAAAATTACAAATAAAACATATTTTTAATATATAATATTCAGTGGGACGTTGCTGCTCCCTAGCATAAAAAAAAAAAAAAACATGGAGGAGAGGTATTAAGTTTAATTTTTCCTTGTATTCTAAGCAGTAGAAGTGAGTCTGGGAGAGATGATTAAACTCGAGGGAGCCCAACAGAAGTTTCCTAAGAATGGTGAACCTGCAGCCAAAGCTGATTTTGGGTTTGTTTACAGGAAATTGTATTGATGGTTATAATGATGCTGTTATAATTTTTTTTAGAGAGATGGAAAGTAGGAAAATTTTGGTATCTTTCCTAAATTTCAGAGAATTATGGTAAAGTGTATGATTTGGAAGGAACATTTTAAATCATGAAACCAAATCTTCACAGATTAGAGTACTTATATCCAGAAGCTTTGTATCTGAATTCTATATAGGAAACATAACTAAAACTCCATTAAAAATATGGACACAAATTTGACGGGGACATCAGGATTATGGCTCAATACTCTCTCTGAGGTGTGTGTGTGTTCCATCTTTGTCTAGGGCCATAGTTATTTCTTGTTCTGCATGCTCTAGCTATATGTCCCCGCCATTCACAATATCTGCAAATAGCGTCAAATAAATGGCATTCAGAATGTGGATGGTTTCCCCCACACTCAGCAAAACGAAATTCTGACCTTTTTTCATTTCGCTCCCGTCTGTCCTTTTCCAACTGGAGTTGAATTACCTCTTCTTCTTCCTCTTCATCTTCTGATGGGGACTCGATGTCCTCGTGGTGTGTTGTGGTGGTGGATTTTTGAGTTTCCTTTGGTGTCTTATTGTGCATTTGATTTGTAGCTTTTGGGTTTTCCGTTGGTATTTTATTCATTTGTCGCATGGTAGCCGCCAATTTCTGTGTGGCTTCAGCTGTGGGGGCTTCTTCTATTGCCTCCTTTAGTGTTATCTTGGGTCTTGTTAGTAATTGGCCCTGTTGTGTTAGGTCCTTTAATCCCAGGACTATTCGGTCCCTCATGGCTTCATCCATGTTTATAAATTTGCATGCTCCGCCAATGTCTCTTAGTGCTGCAACAAAATCTTGATATTCTCATCTTCTTTTTGATTGCTCCGATAAAATTTGTGCCTTTTGATGAGGCATGAAACGGTTGGTGTGTAGTGAGTTCGCAGTAATTTCTCTAGGTCCCGCCAAGCCATTGTCTTTACATTGGTGGGTGCTGCTAATGCCTTTGCTATTTTGAATAATGTGGGACCTCAATGGGTGAGGAAAATGGCTCTCTTTCTATTTTCTGATATTTCGTGGAGGTCGCTTCCTTCTAGGAACATGAGGAATCGATCGACGTACAATTCCCAGCCTTCGGTTGTTGGGTTGAATGGTACGGGTGGCAAGTTGTTTCCAGCCATTTCGTCTTGCTCAGTCTTCATTGCCATGTGCGCAACTGGGTTCCTTTGTCTCAGTATCCCATCCTCGACACCAGTGTTGCGTCGCGGGAAAGAGGCTCTGAGACCCAGTTGCCTTTTTGCCTTCTTTATTTCTTCTAGGATAGAACTCACAGCTTGCGGCCAATGACGGCTCTTCAAATCTCCCGCTGCCACGGACCAACCAATCATAGGTAAGTATGCAAATATATATAACAAACAGAAAGTTAAAAAAAACCACAGGCCTTCATTGTAAATAGAAGAAGTCTGAGCCTGGATATAAATGTAATACTAAAGATGTTTTATTGATGTACTGCAGTTTGAAGGCTCACAATTAAGTTCTTGAAACAAGTTTCATGACTTTCTCTTCACACGATGCCTTAAAAGACTTTCAGAGAGATAGAATTGTGACAGGGTTTGGTTATAGGGATATCCAAGTATTTTATTAATTGTTTTTGTCTCTCTCAATACCTTGGAAGGAACAAGTTAAAAATCACATCATGGCTTAGTGGTTTCCTGGTTGAACGAGAAATGGAAATAAAAGTGACTGCATCCTGAAAGTCAATTCAATTTGAGCCATATTGAGACAAGGAGCATTGGAGTGAATTCTTTTTTGATTTGCAGAGAAAACTGTGCAAGCAGGGACTGGGGAAATTATGTTTAGTGGCGTTTTGCAGACAACTTTGCCCTCTAGTGTATAACAGGTGGAGGAACAATAACAGGATTAGTTTCTGCTTGTATTCTAATGAGTCAGGGAGAGATGATTGAATTACAGGTGATCTGCACAAGTTTCCTTAAAAAAAAAAAGGTGATTATATAGGCAAAGCTTGAAAGATGCATTTGCAAGAACTGGGTATGAACCAGTCAACTGCTGAATGAGCAATTCTATATCAAGCAGCTCATTTCAAATCTCTCCCCTATAATCTGCCAGATGTATACCCCAAATAATCACAGAGATTCCCAGTCTTTCAGGTCATAGTTGTCCCAAAGGTACTTTTTCAACAGGCAACGGGACCTTCTTGTTTTTCTTTGAAGACATTTTGCTTCTCATCCAAGAAGTTTCTTCGGCTCTGACTGGATAGTGGGGAATGGAAGGATTGATACTCCTTGCAGATAGTTGGTCATTTGCATTCTTTTAGTGAATCATAGAGGCCACCTGGACATTTATCTGTGTCCTGCATGGTGCAATTGGGTGTGGATTCTTCTTGGAACAGGACTATGTTGCAGACTGGAGATATATGATATTGTACCCTGACAATGCCCCCACCACCACCACCCCGGTTGAGAACGGGCTGTTCAAATGTGGTTTCTTTTTCCCCCCAAAAGACAACTTTATTGTGGGAGTTTTCTTTGGGTGTGGGTGGGAACATTTTGTTTCTCATCCAAGAAAGCTCAGGTGCTTTTTGGAAGAAAATAAACTGCCTTTGGGACAGCCCTGACTTTTATGAATTAACATGAACATACCAAGAATGTTGGAAGGAACTGGGTATGCTTAGTGAAAGAAGGACTATTAGCAATGTTACCAAAGTTAGCCACATGATCATTTCTGCTGACTGCAATGACAAGAGAGAAATTTAATGGAAAGCCTTAGAAGATGGATCATATTTAAAGACAAAGCCCTCCCTGAATTTACATATCACTCAACAAAAGTCAACATAAGGGACTTGGTGGCTCAGTGGCTGAAATGCTGAGCTTGTCAATCAGAAAGGTCGGCAGTTCGGCAGTTCAAATCCCTAGCACTGCATGACGGAGTGAGCTCCTTTTACTTGTCCCAGCTTCTTCCAACCTAGCAGTTTGAAAGCATGTAAAAATGCAAGTAGAAAAATAGGGACCACTTCAGCGGGAAGGTAACAGCATTCTGTGCATCTTCAGTGTTTGGTTAACCTGGAAAGGAATAGCTGATCTTAAGATTTTTGGAGTTGTGGGAGGAGTCTTATTCATCATCTTTTAATGACCCCATAATCCTTCTCTGGGTGGAGTCTTGGCAACTAAATGGAGCCAACAGAGCATTTTAATGGCTGGATGCCCTTCCTGTGGCCAATGTAGAGTTTTGTTCAGCAAATATATTCTCAGTGTGTCCAGAGAGTGAAATATGCCTCTACCTAGGATGGAACTCATAGCCACTTGATTGTGAGGCAAGAGCTCCACCTCTAGGCCACAGCACCACTTCTTGGGAGGAGTCTTATTGTTTATCCTAACCCTGGAGAAAAGTTGTGTATGTAGTCACTAGCGGCTGATACCAAACTAGGTGGCACTTAATCATTTGGTCAATTCAAGATTGTGCTATTCTTAATCCTGGTCTTCCAATTCAAAATCATTTTAATGAGTTTTCTTGGAGAACTACTCAGGGGAGGAGAAGGTTCTTTCTTGGTTTAAGAATAACAGAATAATAGAGTTGGAAGGGATCTTAGGGGTCTTATAGTCCAACACTCTGCTCAAGCAGGAGACCCTCTACCATTCCAGATAAATGGCTGTCCAATCACTTATTCAAAACTTCCAGTGTTGGAGTACCCACAACTTCTGTTGGCAAATCATTCCACTGATTAATTGTTTTCACTGTCAGGAAATTTCTCCTTAGGTCTAAGTTGGTTCTCTTCTTCATTAGTTTCCAACCATGGCTTCTTGTCCTGCTTTAAGGAGAATAGGTTGCCTTGGAGAATCCTCCTTGTGACAGCCACTATTGGAACACTGTTACTGTGTCATTTCTAGACCTTCTTTTCATTAAACTAGACATACCTATTTCTCGCAACCATTCTTCATATGTTTTAGCCTGGCATCCCCCAAGAAGCACTTTCAGAAGCACTTTCTCTCACTGTGCCTCTTACACAGTAATAGACAGCTGTGTCTTCATGCTTTAGGCTGTTCATTTGCAGATGCATCTGGTCTTTGGCATTGTCCTTGGATATGGTGAAGCGACTCTTGACTTCATCAGAATAGTGAAAAGATGTAGAATCATAGCGTATATGTGCCACCCATACCAGCCCTTTCCCACGAGCCTGTCTCATCCAATGCATGCTGTAATCACTGAAGGTGAAGCCAGCTGCTTGACAGATGAGATGAAGGGACTCTCCAGGTCTCCTCACATCCCCACCAGACTCAGTCAACTGAACTTCAGATTGGGCACCTGAAAAGGAAAATAGTTCAGTAAGAGCTGTTAAATATTACTAGATAAGAATAATCAAAAGAATGCTATGCTGGAAGAATTACCTGCAAGAACACTGACAAAGAGCAAGGATGTTGGCCAAAATAACATTTTTGCTGTCCAAAAAGAGAGGAATGGAAAAGTCTGGGAAAGCATCCACCAGTTTATGTTGATGAGTTCCATCTGATAAAAATTATATGACTCATTTAAAGAAGAGACTGCCCACAGATTTACATATCCCTCCAGATAAAGGAGCCACATGTTTAATAATCTAGATGTCTTTCAAAATACTCTGTATTAAGAAACAAAAAGGCCATACTATATATGGAGATTCTTAGTCATCCAGTGTGATGACCCGTAGTCTCTCAAAATAACCCAAAACCCAAAACATATATTAAAGTCCGGTAAGGCCTTCAACTTAACTTCACTGTTTTATTAGGCACAGTTTAAAGTCACAAAAGTAACTAATGAGGCAAACAGAAAACCAAAACAAACTGCATTGATGAGAGTTCCGAAGCAAGCCAAGATAACTAATCATACACTCCAGGAAAATAATCGAGAAAAGTCCATGGGAAGAACCCCAAGAAAGATAAACCTCTTTCAAATTGAACACTAAATTGACTCCTGCAAATTCTAACTGCGCAGTTGCAAACTTATATACATAGCTCCCACCTGCAAGCCATGAGGAGGATCATGGTAATCTCCTCTTGAGTAGACCTCGCTTTTCCCTGATCCTTTCCTCCCTGCGTGACCTAGGATGGATAGGGGATGGGCCTGGATCCTCTTCTGACTGCTCAGCCGGTCTCTGCCCTTCCCCAGTCTCCTCCCTGTTGGCTATTCCTCCTCTTCCTCAGAGTCAGTCTCCACCAGGGGCATGACACTATCCCCCCCCACAGGGCCTCCTCCCCCGGGACCAGGTGGATGAGGATGTTGAGGAAACCGAGCATGAAAGTCCTGGACCAAACGAGGAGCATGAACATCAGTGACATCGACCCAGGTGAAGTCCTCTGGTCCCATAATCTTTCCATGCCACCAAATACTGAAATCAGCCCTGCAACTGGCATGAATCTTGAATGCTATCCACTTCATACTCCTCCTCTCCCTGAGGGGCTATTAGGGCTGGCAGTGATGGTGTTGGTCGATGTGGACTGTCGGCCAAGACAGGGACTAACAGGGAACAATGAAAAACAGGATGGATACACATGGTCCGTGGCAGGGAGAGACGATAAGCCACAGGATTGATCACCGCCTTGACCAGAAAAGATCCCAAGTAACGGTGATCGAGCTTTTTCGATGGTCACATCATTGGAAAATATCAAGTAGAGAGCCAAACCCGATCACCAACCACTAAAGGTGGAACATCA